TTGGAGAGGTACGTCATGCTTGGGAGGGTGGAGTGACAGTGCAAGAGAGGAAGAACATTGATGAGATGGATTGATTCAATGACTAGGGTAATGGGGTGGGTGTGTCAGATACAATAAAATTGGCACAGAATAGAGCAGGGTTTAGGGCTGTTGTACATAGGAATGCCATGAGTCACAAGTGACCCAATGGCACATAACACCACCACCACCACCACCAAAAGTGAACATTGCTATAAATTCTTCACATTAAAATGGCACTTATAGTTTATCTATCATATCTATCTATCTATCTATCTATCTATCTATCTATCTATCTACCTACCTATCTATCTTCTATTATCTATCAATCTATCATCTATCATCTCCTTATATGAATATATAGATGGATAGTATAATTTTCTTCAAAATATAAGCTCTTATCAAAAGATAGAAAGAAAGCATATTGAATGATCATAGCATTTATTTATAATCTTACAGAAAGTGCAGCCAGGATGTTTCCTAGAAGCAGGAATGGTGAATCTTTGTCTTACGTATTTTAGGCATGTTGTCAGGAAGGGCCAGTCCTTGGGTTAAGACATCATGCTACAAAATGTGGAGGGTCAGAGAAAGAGAAGAAGGCCCTCAACAGGATGGGCTGGCCCAGTAACTGCAACAATGGCTTGAGCATGGTGGAAATTGTGAGGATGGGGCAGGAAAGGGCAAGGGTATCATCTGTTGTTCGAAGAGTAGCTGTACGTTGTTATTGACTAGAGACTACCTAGCAACCACCACCACCACCACCACAACATATGTTAAATTTTTTTTGGGTCATGTTTGATGTGTAGTTCTGCTCTTCCCCTCCAAGAGTGGGGTCCTTGAGGCTTTGCCTAGGGGTTAAGGCTGCTTAAAGGTGTTGACTTAAAACCCTGGAGGGGGAGGGGAGAAGAATGTGGCCAAGGTCCTGGACTCCACTCTGGGATTTTGTGGGTTTTTTTGCTGCTTGTGCATGGTGGTCTGGATGGGCAAGTAAAGGGAAGTTTTGGGGTCTTGTTTGATGTGTAGTACTGCTTCTCCACCCCCCTCCCCCAAGAGCAAGGTCCTTGGGGCTTTGCCTAGGGTTTAAGGCTGCTCAAAGGCATTGGCTTAAAACCCCACAGGGCCCTCGGTCCTGCGGCTCTTAGGCCAAATTTATTAATTTTCAAATGAATATTACTTGATTGACACAATGATCTTTTGTCTATTATTTGCTGAACTGAACATCTTGTTGGTGTTTTGATGCTGCACACTGTTCCATAGTCTTGTCAAATACTATAATGGTTATCCATTATGTACAGTGTTTGGATGAGCTTTCAGATTGATTTATGCTGGGAAACAGGAGTGGCATCCACTTCCTAAACTAGATACCTCTGGAAACTCTACAAAATCTCTAAACTCTACAAACTTGCTAAACTCTATAAACGTACGGAAATGATGGTAGTTATAGAACCTAGTTATGTACAGAAATGATGTTAAACTCACAGAACTGAGTTTAGGTCTTTTGTGCAAAACTTAGTTGTATTCTACTTGATGACACTTAAGCACTACTTAAGTGAAACTTGTTGTCGTTATGTGCCATCGAGTCGTTTGTGACTCATAGCGACCCTATGCACAACAGCCCTAAACCCTGCTCTATCCTGCGCCAACCGCACTGCCTCTGACACACCCATCCCGATTACCCCAGTCACCAAATCAATCCATCTCATAGAGGGTCTTCCCCTCCTGCGCTGTCCCTCCACCCTCCCAAGCATGATGTCCCTCTCGAAGGACCCGTCCCTCCTGGAAACATTTCCAAAGTATGTCAGACAAAGCCCCAGAATCCTTGCCTCCAAGGAGTAGCTTGGTTTACTCCTCTCTAAGATGAATCTGTTTGTTTTCCTGGCAGTCCATGGTACATTCAGTACTCTTCTCCAGCACCACAGCTCAAAGGCATCAACTCTCCTTCTGTCCTCCCTAGTCATTGTCCAACTTTCTGATGCATAACAAGCGATTGCAAAAACCATGGCCTATATCAGGCACACCTTACTCTCCAGAGAGACACTGTTGCTCTTGAGTACTTTAGAGAGGTCCCTAACAGCAGACTTTCCCATCGCGATACACTTTTTGATTTCCTGACTGCTGGTGCCAAGAGTATTGACTGTGGAGCTGAGCTAACTGAAGCTGTGATCAATCTCAATCTCCTCGCCATCCATCCTGACGCTGCCAATTGGTCCAGTGGTGAGAATCTTTGTCTTCTTGACATTGAGCCTCAGTCCATACTGAAGGCTGCAGTCCTTGACCCTCCGCAGCAAGTGCATGAGGTCCTCCTCAGTTTCAGCGAGCAGGGTTGTGTCATCTACATAACACAGATTGTTAATAGATCTTCCACCAATCCTGATGCCACAATTCTCCTCATACAGCCCAGCCTCTCGGATAATCTGCTCTGCATACATGTTGAAAAGGTATGGAGACAGGATGCATCCCTGGCGTACACCCTTCCTAATTTTGAACCATGCAGTGTTACCCTGCTCTGTTCTGACTACTGCCTCTTGGTCCAAGTATAGGTTTCACATTAGCACAATTAAATGTTCTGGGATTCCCATTCTTCTCAGAGTCAGCCACAGTTTGTTATGATCCACACAGTCAAATGCCTTTGCATAATCAATGAAACACAGATAGACATTCTTCTGGTATTCCTTGCTTTCAGCCAAGATCCATCTCACATCAGCAACAATATCCCTAGTACCACGACCCCTTCTAAACCCAGCCTGGACTTCCGGCAATTCTCTGCTGATGTGCTGTTCTAATCGTTTTTGGATAATCTTCAGTAGAATCTTGCTTGCATGTGAAATCAATGATACTGTTCTGTAGTTTCCACACTCAGTTGGGTCACCTTTCTTTGGAATGGGAACAAATATAGATCTCTTCCAGTCAGTTGGCCAAGTGGTTGTTCTCCAGATTTCGGGGCACAACTTGGTGAGTACATCCAGGGCAACATCTGTTATCTGAAATACTTCAATTGGTATACCATCTATTCCTGGGGCCTTATTTTTGTGCTATTTCCTTCAAAGCAGTGAAACTAGTGTTGTTATATCTGGAGGAATATTCTTCCACTTTGTACATCACTCTTTGTCAACGTGCTGTATGAAGTAACCTGGATTTGCTGTGATGCTGAACCTGGTACCACTGGGGTATTAAATATCAGAATGGCTTCCCAATGTGGACAGTGTTTGGTGGAGCTCCCAGCGGTAAAACAGGTTTTGAAGCAGGACTGGCATCTAATTCATAAACCACATACCTCTGGAAACTCTATGAACTTGGAAAAATGACAACAGTTATGGAAAGGCATTAGGTCTTTTGTTCATAAAGTCACTATGAGTTGCGCTTGACTCGACAGCAATCAACAAAAACAGCATCATGTTATTACCATATAACCTGAATGTCTGTTTTCTGTTATGGTGAAGCCAGGCACCTCCTTGGAGGCAAGGATTCTGAAGCTTCGTCTGACATACTTTGGACATGTTGCAAGCAGAGGGATGCCAAGCTTGGGAGGGTTGAGGGACAGCGTAGGAGAGGAAGACCCTCGATGAGATAGATGGATTCCATCACTGAAGTAATGGGGATAGGCATGTCAGAGACACTATGATTGGCACAGGATAGAACAGGGTTTAGGGCTGTTGTACATAGGGTCGCTATGAGTCGCAGGCAACTCTATGGCACATAACAACAACAACAACAATTAATGTTATTATCACTATTTGGATCAGTTGCAAGTTGGTCCTTAAAGTAACATTCTTGCTCTTTAAACACTTTAAGAAGTTAAAGACATTTGCTTCATATGCATTTCAAAATTGAACAGTGAATAAGAAAGAACAAAGAATTGATACTTGGAATTGTGGTGTTTGCAAAAAAATAGGGAATATATCATGGGTGGCAAGAAAAATCAAACAAACCTGTTTTGGAAGAAGGGTAACCCGAGTGCTTCTTAGAGGCAAGGATGGTGAACCTTTGTCTCACATATTAGGGGCATGGTTTAAAGAGGAGTCAGTCCTCAGAAAAGACCATCAGGCTTGGAAAAGTAGAGGGTCAGTGAAGGAGAGAAGACCCTCAATGAGGTGGACTGACACTGTGATTGCAGCCAGAGAATTAAACACAGCAGACCATGTGAGGCCAGCTCAGGCCTAAGCAGGGCTTGTTCTGTTGTAAACAGAGGTGTCCCGGCCAGAGCTAACTCCAACAAACAAACAACCCTTATTACCAGCTTTATAGAGATTTGGCATTTATTACAATGTCACATTCTTTATTCTATTAAACACAGATTATTACGAGGGAGAAAGTAGCAACAGTAAGGCTTTCTATTTTCTTTATCTTGCTCATGTCCATGCAGTAATTAGTAATTACAGCAAATCATTAGCCTTTGGCACACATATTTCAGGTGTGTAAACAGCACCTTCCATGTTCTTTGTGGAGTTAAAAAACAGAGACATTACAAAGGTGAATGTCAAACAATAAAACAGTCTCTTTTTTTCCTGAAAGAAATTTTTGTATGTGTGTATAACTCAAAATACTGAAACATTTTTTTTTCATTTTTAAGAATTCTTTGAGTTTTCAAACCTAGTGCAACTGAGCTGCACTTGATTGTTTCTGTTTGGAATACAGCACTCCCTTTCCCTCATTTGCGCTGTTACAGAGGAAATGGACTTATAGTGCTCATGATTCAGGAGAAAAACAGCTTCCTTAATTCCAAAATACTCCTTAGATTTTGGTATTAAAAAAACCTCTTCTACTGGAGTTGACAAGTTTATTTTATAGCAATGCTATGGCAAAAAAAAAAATGTTAATGCAGAACTACAAACAGGTTTTTAGAACAAAACAGTATTTTCTTGCTGCCTTACAGAAATGATTTACAAGAAGACAGAACAAAATTTCTCAGCTTCACTCATCAACTTTGCCAGAGCTTTTTTCCATTTAGGTGGAAGAAGTAATTAAAAAATAAAGTTTAGAAGCTATATGTGTCTGTTTTGTTTTAGCTTGGTGTATTTATTGAGAGTGAATTCTGTGTGTCTCTGCAGCTCATCGATATGTGTATTGAGAAGTTTTTCCAGGTCTTTTGCTCGCTTCTCTTCCTCCAAAAGGAAATGCTGTGCAGCCAAGGACGCCGGAATGGACATATCTGGGGGAGACTGAAGAGAGAGAAAGTAAATTCAGATGAGAAATGCAGGGCCCTTTGGGAACATATTTATAGTCCCAGGCATGTTCCCTACCCTGACATACTGTAAAACACTAACTGTTCATGAAACAGCACGTCTTGAACTGACCCTCCTCTACTGGTATAATGCAGGCAATACTAATGAAATCCCTAATGAATGAAATGTCACAGCACTCACAGATTCACACGCTCAAGGAATTAACATTACGGTGCCCAGCTGCAAATACATGGAAAGTGTATTTACCTTGAAATCTCCCTAAAACATATCCCGGTAATTTATAAAGCCAACGAATCTTATCTGAAAATATGCGACTCCAAAAGGTTAAAGATTATAGTAGAAGTGTGCAATAAAGGATCACAGAAGAAAAGTATAAAGAATTTCCTTAATAAGCTTAGAACTATAGCATGATGTGTATTAGGGGTAAACGTGGCTTTTGGCAGAGAGATCCCTTGAGTTGGGGCATGCCTGAGTCACAGCTGAGCACACGAGATGGTACATCAGTCCCATCTTCACAGTGACAGGATGTGCTACTTTTAATTCTCTGTGATCTGCTTAGTACTTGTTTCCAAAAACAAATACACAAACTAAAAACACCTGTGGCTGAAGGACAAAGAGCAAACTTTAGTTATTATTATAAGGTTGACGAAAAAGCCAAACACACAAAAAAGTGCATCTAGTATGATTCTCAACTCAACATAATTCAATTCATTTCCACAGAGCTGGAATCAACTGGGCTGAGCTTCCACAGATTCACAAGGCTGTAAATTTCATAAGAAGATACTGCTTATCTCTCTTCCTCAGATCACCAAGGGATTCGAATCTCTAGAGACGTGCAGCTGCTGCGTTAGGAGTGTAATTCCCCATGGAATATGCCACCAGAGTTCCCTAGTATGACTCTAATAGAAAATTCACAAATGGACAAAACTTGCTTATCTCAGCAGAAATCAGCACAGTGACTACTGGTAGCTGGTGATGTTCTGAGTGGCTGTTACATGAACTTGTGCCCTTTGTGAGAATCTAACAAGTGGTTCAATTATGACTTGTGCCTATTTCTGCGTGGATGTCAAAGTTAATAAAAAAAAAATTCTTTAAAAAGGCACCAAAGGGTTTTTGTAGCTACAAGAGTGCATGGAATGTCTGGAGATAAATCTCAAACACATTTTTTTTAAACTTCACCAAGGATTCTAGTCTTCACCAGTGGTTAATATCCACTGACTGAAATACTTCCCTTATGGATTAGTGTGCGTAGGCCATTCGTATTCATATGGCAACACTGTTTTGTTATTTTTAACAACTATGGTAGAGAGCTTTAGTGACCTAGTGATAAGGAACTGCACTGCCAACACAAAGTTACGCAGTTAAAATCCACCAACTGCTCCATGGGAGAAAGACGGGCAATCTCCTCCTGTGCAAAAGCCTCGCTGGAGGGTTGGCTATGAGTTGGTTCTAATTCAATAGTGCATAACAGCAACAACATGCACATCAGTGTATTGGTTTCAGCGGTAATAACAAGATAATCACTCTTAAAGGAGAAAAAAAAATAAACCCATAACCAGCAACTCACCAACGGGAATACTTCCTCATCACTAGCCAAAGGACTCGCCATCTCTTTGCTTTGAAATACCAGTGGTGCCAGTGGAGACACCCTGCTTCTGTTTGGCTCAGAATCGTGGCTCAGTCTGAAAGAGAGCGCATGGTTACCATTGCTACAGGGCACACATTTATGTAGCTAAGGTTTTACCATTTTCTGATGTCTAACTTGGGGGAAAACACACAGCAAATGTTTGGGCATCTGTGTATTTCTTTGAAAATAATCTTCCTGATGAATAATCTTCACTTCAAAAAATGTCTGAATTGCTAAAACATTCTACTATTGGTATCGCCTCTATTGTCTGTTTGCATGATGCTTTTTATATCTTTGAATAACATAAAAACTGGGTTAAGAAAAATCTCAAAACAGCTAATACTTCTGTCCTTGACAATTCTAAATAGATACTCTTCTCCCGGTCCCTTTTATATGACCTTGCTAACTTTCTTAATAGAATTATATCTTTTTTATGTAAATAGAAGGTTTCATAGAATAACAGTTCTAAAATGTGTGTGTGTGTGTGTATAAACAGTTTATAACATATATAATCTCTTTTCCCCTTCACTTATTAGCTGTGTGGCTTTGAGCAAGTTACTTTATCTTGATGTAACTTTAATTTTTTTCATTTACTAACAAATATTTGCTTTAAGAATTTAGGCCATAATTACTAGTACATAGTAAGGGCTAAAAAAAGATTATATAAGTAATCTTATACCTAATATAAATTATCATTTATATTATTTTAAAACTCATTTGAGCCTCAAAATAACCTCACAAAGTGATTATTATTCATAGATGAGGACAATAAAGTTTAAAAGTTAAATTATCTAACTATCTAATTATTTACTACTTTACTAACAATAAATTACTAAGAAGTAGTGATTTTTAACTTTGGACTCAAAACCAGGTCTTTTTATTTCAAACCTGTAATTTTGATGAAAAACACAATACAGAAGTTGTTGTATATGCTAAAATAAATTGTAAATAAGGCTAAATACAACTGAGATTTTAAATTTTGGTGTACTAACCAAACAAACAAAAGAAAAAAAAACAATTTACCTTAAAATTTTACACAAAAAGATCCTAATAATGTGGGCTATTGGGAGTAAATAAAAATATTTATCTGAAGTAGTAATTAAAATAGAGTATAAATTTAATCAAAATTATCAAAGACCAAGAGAACATAAAAATACCTTAAAGTTATTTCTTTTTAGTGGAAATAAGATTCTCACAGCATTACCATTTTCAAAGCCATTATAGTTTAATTTTGCACAATTTAAAAATTCCTGTTCTTTGTCTCTATTCTTATCCAAAAGCTATCTATATAACTACTTTCTTATTATGCAAACATTTTCAAAGTTATGCATACAAATAGCAATAAAAGTTAAGTGAGGCATCTGTAAATTAGTACATAAAAACAAACACAACATGTTTCCATTTTTACTTGTTTTGAAATATGTCCTTTTTTAAAAAAACCCTACCTTCTAAGCCATAATTACCATGGAAACAGAACAGCAAATTAAATGGAAATACATGGCTTATGATGTGCACGATAAGATGAAACCTCTCACAACTCAAATAGAATTATAACAAAAGTATAATACATCTGCATATAATCTTTAGCTGAACCTTTTCATTTGGGTGAGGCCACCTTCTACACTTCAAAGAAATAGATGTCTCTCTGTAATCTCAATTATGCAGAGATGCCTGGCAAAGTATTATTTATCCTAAATTATCTAAATAATGATCTCAATTTTCCATTTTGCTTTGGATGTAAAGATACAGTTTTATGGTGTTAATTACTAAAATTTATATAGAAACATTCCTTTTACTGTAAGATCAATAAAATGTAGAGATTGAGAAGAAAGACTAGATCATGAAGGAGAGTACTTTGCTTAAATCATCTTTATATCTGACAAGCTCTTATTCTAGACTATAGCTAGCTATTCAAATACTTCATAAAAGCACCTTGCACAAAATGCTAACTGTATCAATTTAAAAGCTATCTTAAAGATGATTTCAGAAGGCTTTTATTATGTTTTCACAAGCTGATGTTGAACAAGCTCTTCCACAGGCCTTTCTCTGAAGCCTCCGCCACCTACTTTACCAGAAGGGCAGGACCTAGGTGCTTTGTTGGGAGCACAATTCTGTGCTTTGAGAGTTGGGTGGATTCTCCGTACAGTTTCAATGCTTACGTGACATAGCATGCCTTTCATTAATTAGTTAATTTCTCCCTGAATTTAAGGAGAACATCCTCAGCATGGGAACAAAAGTCCTTCATAATCTATGCTAACATCTTTTCCCAACCTCAATTTCCAACGCTCCCATACAATGCTGCCTATATTTCATCAAACAATTCCTTGTTTCTGGTCTAGAAGTGTTCAACCTGCAATGCTTTGCTCCCTACTGAGCAATGCCAAGATACAACTTTTTCTCGCTTGATTTTCGGCTTCTTGAAGACCTTCCATGCCCTGCCCCGCCCCCAAAGTTCCCGTGATTATGACAGACCCGCCGACTTTCTGTGTGTGTGGTTTGCCAGTACTATTGCTGTTATTGTTAAATGCCATCGAGTCAACTCAAACTCATAGTGACCATATGATAACAAATTGGAACCCTGCCCTGTTCTGTTCCATCCTCAAGCTCTCTGTGTGCTGGAACACACTTTTTACAGTTACTGTGCCAATTTCTCTTGTTGAGGCTCGTCTCTGTTTAGCTGACCTCTACTTTCCCCAGCATGATGTCTTTCCCCAAGCACTGGTCCCTCTTGATAACTTGCCCAAAGTATGTGAAACCAAGTTTCGCCATCTTTGCATCTAAAGATGGCTGTACTTCCTTCAAGACAGATATATTTGTTCCTTTGACAGTCTATGAGATAGTCTTCTACAGCAACATAATTCAAAGCTATCAATTCTTTTATCATCATTGTTCCCTGTTCAAATTTCAGATGTATAGAAAGCCACTGAAAGTACCATGGCTTGAGTAAGGGACACCATAATAGTTAAACTGACATTTTGCTTCGTAACACCTTTGAGAGGTCCTTGACAGCAGATTTCCCCAATGCAACATGTCTTTGATTTCCTGTCTGGTGTTACCATGAGTGTTGATGGTGGATCCAAGCAAAATGAACTCATTCACAACTTTAATGTTTTCTCCATATTTCTTTAAGGATGTTGCCTATAGGTCCAGTGGTTAGGATTTTTGTTTTCTTGAAGTTGAGATGTAATCCATATTAAAGGCTGTAGTTTTTAATCTGACAAACTTAATTTATTAACTAGATCCAAAGCCATTTTAATGGTTAATATGTGTGATTACTACTTTCGCAATGAATACATGATCAAACTTTTTAAACAATAAATTCAATTTTAAGTAATGCTGTTTATTACAAAATATATTTTTAATTAAAATTAGTTATATATTAATAGATCTGTATATCACTAGTTGAAATTAACTTGTAAATTAAACATCAAAGTCCTAACTTAGAAATCATACATCCACATCAAATCAAATGATATTATTGTTGTTGCTAAGTGCCAGTGAATCAACTACAACTCACAGCCACCCTATCAACATCAGATTGGAACTTTCTCTCCCCTGCTCCATCCCCACAATTCCTGCAGTGTTTTAAGTCTTCTGGTAAGTGCTTCCTTTGCACCTTCTGCAAGCAAGGTTGTGCGATCTGCATAACGTTAGGTTGTTGAGCCTTTCTCCAATCTTGATGCCATATTCTTCTTCAGGTGCTTGAATGTTTTCCTCAACATACAGACTGAACAGGTATGGAGAAAAGACACAACTCTGATACACACCTTTCTTGATTTTAACTCACACAGTGTTTCCCTCTTCTGTTCAGACAATTGATTCCTGTTCTATGTACAGGTTTCATATGAGCACATTAAGTATTTTATAATCTCTATTCTTAATGTTATCCATAATATGTCATTATATTGCATTCATAATTTTTTCAAAGTATTAAGTAACTGTCTTATTGAAAAGCAAATTTTTTTGGAATATTTCAAAATGCTTAAGAAGTTGGACACATTAAAAACTTGCTCACTTCTAACAGGAATAAAACAACAACAAAAATTGTTCTTAAAGTTAGACAGAAGATTATTTTAATAGTGTATTCTAGAAATTCCAAGATAAAAAAAGTGGCTAAAAATTAAGACGATGGACTTTGGAAGTTTGTAGAACCTTCATATAATTTCATGAGCTTTTTTCCCTTTCCCATACAGTCTAATTTATTGTTGTTTACCATTTGAATTGGAAATGCCCCTTAGCTGCCCTCTGGTAGGTTTTACAGACAGTAATCACACAGGAAGAGACTGCTCATCTTTCTCCCATGGAGCAGCTGGCAGATTCGAACTGTGTGTATTTGGGATTGCAGCACAACTTCTTACCACTAGGCTCCCTATAATCTAATAAGAAGCTTGTTATAATATT